CCAGATGTTACGATGCGATGACAATCTATTTGCATGTTCAAAAACCAATGATTATACAGTATCATGCAATGGCATTTCATTCAGCTGATTTTTTAAATTGATTTTTTCGTCATACTGCAGCAAAAACAGCCGTCTTCATGAATGCGTTGCAGGTCTAAAGTAGCATTTTTACTCTCTAGGGAGTCAAATCGCTTTTAGCCCCCAGGGAATAAAAATCAGCTGTTGTCAACTCAGTTGAAAATTTCGATTGTAACCATTTATCGAAAGAATGTATTGATTGTTTAATCGATTGTAGTTAATTGTTGCCTAATTGTAAATAGTTCAATATATAGATAGTCTAATAAATGTACACCAACACAATCGTTAAAGACTAAACGATTAAATCCCTTACTGCTTGTTTCCATTGGCAAATTAAATTAAAAACAAGCTAGAAGTAGTTTTTTGAGGTTATCTTTAAATGGAAACTATTTCAGTGTTATAACATAGCTTGTTAAAATAATGGTGCAATATGACGAAAAAATATAGCTCATCACACGGGCAAAAGTGTCTTTTCAACCCTTGAAAAGAGTCACTTTAGACCCTAGTGATGACATATACTATTATTTACTTAAAATTCTAACGAGAACTATAGGTTCGTTTCGAAGTCTCGGAATATTTTTTTATGATACACGTAACTGGACATCAAATAAACTTTGAAGCAAGCTTTATATTCGACAATGCGATTATAAGTCTACTTTTAGTATCCAAAATCAATGATACACAACATCTGTATTTGAACTAAGTTTTTGTGGTATAAAATGATGAATCATTTACAAGGAGACTGTACCTTTTGTAAAAAAATGAAATTTTTTATATAAAAAAATAATCCTTTTTTTCCTTCCTAAATAAGAAAATATATAACATTTAGTATATTAGAGAGATCTTTGTGATAACAATAAATAAACAGATAACTCTGCAAAGCTCTTTTGGCGAAAATCAGGCCATTGCTGGTTTCTAAGTTTTCGGCTGACACTCCTTACAGTATTATTATAATATTATATTACTACTAATTATTGCAAATTCTTTCCATAGGTGTAGGTTTGGAACCACTGTTGTCTTGATTACCAGATTAGTATTTTTGTTTATTTCTTTTTGTATTTTTGTCAGTTAGTTGTCAGCTGTGTTTTGTTGGGAAGGATATTTTAGTTATGTTGTTAGTTCAACCCAAACGTTAAACTTTCGAAGTGTGATGTGTTGTGATGAAATAGTTTTTGTTGTGATAGACATTAAATGAATGGCTAGGATGAGAAATTTTGATTCTAGGAGATCTCATGATAACCTGTTTAGCCTGGTTAAAGAAAAAAGACCCTGGAGGGGTATGACGTCATGAAGAGAAGTGTTCAATGCTTGTGATTATCAAGTGTGCTTTTTCTGAAAGTGATATAATTTTGGATACTTGGTGAGTACCTCCAAACCAAACATCTATTGATTACTAATGCATATTAAAATACATGGTGGTCCACGGGAAACGGATGGATCTAAAACAGCTATTGCTCCTAAAGTTTTAAACATAGAAAAGTTTTATTGAGATAGAAATGAAGGGAACGTTATGCCATTTACAAAATAAAATACCTTATTTTAAGTTTTGAAATTGACCTCCTACAAATTGTGGCCATTGAAACGGACACACATTTTCAAGCCTTCATCAAAACCGTTCCACTTTATTCAGTAACTATTCATTGGTTAGTTCAATTTGGCTCCTAATTGCGGTCTTCAATTCTTATTTTCTTTTTAAACACATATCTTCAGGTGATTCCACAGGGAAAAGTCTTTCATTGACAAGTCCAGTGAACGCGGACACACATCGCCAAACCATGAGATCACACGCCCAGTAATTAAAACTCAAACTGCTGCCATAGTGGTGGTCGTGTAAGTAGCTTCCCCATCTTGTTGGTTCTTGATGCAGATTTTCTACTCTTTAAGTTCTCGAATGAAAAGTCTCTTATCATGTTCATGTATCGTGTAGAATAATTAACAGTGACAGGAGTTCTTTTTATTCGAAGAATGATGTACCAAAAATCCCTCATTTTCCAACAGCACACTAAACTGTGTTCCAGGTGTTTTTCTTTTCACAACTGATCCTTTAGTTCCAAATAAGAAGCCCACCTGACTCGAAAGTTCACCATGACGACCAATACGAAAGTAAAGTCTAAAACATCGTTGAGCTTCCACTCTTGACCAACCATGTTGAGTTCAATAGTTGACTCACCACTTTAAAAAGAGCATCGTATGCCAACATGCAATTAATGATCTTTCGTCAACAGCTAAAAGATGCCTGAAATGGCATTGGATGGGGAACTGAATGGCGAATTTCTTCCTTTACCAGTAACCGAGAAATGCGCGATTCAAAAGTGTACGTTTCCCGTATATAAAATATTTATTTTTACTTTTAGAATATAGCATAACAATTTTAATTTTTAGTGATTAAAAATCACCCTTAGGCTATATTAATATAGTGGATTAGCATAGAGATATGTATGTCATTATTAAAAGTGCAAAAACAGTACGGTATGGTAGGTTTAGTGGTTTTCATGCAATGTGTACTTGAACTTCAGAATCTCCATAAAATAAACAATGTACCAGAAAAGGTACAGTCTCCCCAGTTGGTTTCATTTTGATTTTAAAATCTATTATTTTTATCTACATTTATAGAACTAAGGAAATAAATAATTCCTTTATAGATTTCTTATGCTATTACGAGGAAAATTATTTCATCAAAACCATCGCTTGACCTGATGCTCACATGTGGAAGGTTGACATTCTTGTATCATTTGCAACCACAGATGTGGTTGGCTGAAAACCACAAACACCAACCAGGAGAAGCAGTAGTTTGTTCAACTCATTTGTTGCAAATCTAAAAATTCTTGGTTTTACCTTAGATTGTGGAGAGTCTATAAATATGTCCGTGTAAAGTTGATCCACCAATAGAGTTTAGATCGCGTAAAAGGTAAATACCCCCGTCGCAGCCAACCTGCAGACTAAGCGAATTTCCATTTGCCTGATTGGATTTAAACTAAAATGTCTACTTGAAAATTTAACATTTATTTCCTATTTAAATAGAATTAGTTTAACAGGTACTTAGGTTTGCTGCATCAGGAAGGGTAAAACAGTTTTTTTGTAAAATGTTAATAGTTAGTAAGAAATAAAAACATTTTCCAAATTTGATCAAAATATGTTCATAAACAAGCAAACTACAACAGTTTACTTGTTCTCCTTAAGAATAACATGGGAATTTAAAATTTACATTTGTTTGGAATTTTCTCCTTAGCCATTAGGCGCATAGTAACACTTCAATATACTAAATTATTTGTTTTTTAAGCTCTACATAATGGTTTGGAAAGAAATTGCTAAATTTTATGTTTTTTGGGTAAAAAACGGAAAAAACATATTTTTACCCCATAAAACCCCCTGTAAACCCCCGTTCCCATAGTCCGATCATGCTGGTTCGCGAACTCGTTCAAGTTTATCCCGTCTTACACCTTCAAACCAAATTTTATCAAAATCGGACAAAAAATACTCAAGTTATCGTGCGGATGGACATATATATATAGATATATAAACATTTGAACGAATGGTGTTTTTGGCCTCTGGGGACATCAAAATGAAAAAGTACATCGGTCCCGGGCCTAGGTCTTACCATGAGACCAATGGTAATAGCTACTTCCCTATAAGGTAATTCGCAAAAAAATAAAAAAAAATAGAAAAGTAAGAAGATAAAGAAGATTGAAGAAATCAGAATCAAAATGGACAGAAGGAAAGAAAGATTGAGAAAACATCATAGTATGGAAAAAATTTCAGAGATCCTTTAGTCTATTCGCAATAAAAATATGTTTACTGTATTTTTAGAAAACCAAATGTGTAGGCCTACGTCTCACCTTCAAATGTGAAGGTTACTGGTTCAATCCCGATCGAAACCAAACCTGGACCTTGATGCTATTTATCATTAAGCAATTAGTAAATCCTGTTTAAATAACTTAACTCTGAATTATCATTTTACGTAATGGCATTGGTGTTAAGCATACATTAAAATACGCCCCCAAAACCTTTTTCTTATCCACATTTCAAAACTTGTTAGGGCTACACTTAAACTGTTAAAATTTGTAAATACTGTCCTTTAAATTGCTCAGAGTGCAAGCGAATTAGTGAAGATATGCCATTAAATGTTGGAAAACGCTTATTTGCATGATTCTCTCTGATAAAAGGTTGATGTAATATGTGACCAGGGGTTGGACCGTTCTTAAACTGTGTATTAACAATAGTGATAAAAAACAAGTTAAATAAACTGTGATTTATTTAAAATGAAATATGTTTAACTATATCATTTTTTTACATGTAGATAAAATATGTCATTTTATACCTCATACTGTGTTGTTCACCCCGAATTACGTTTGACAAAACTGCAAAAGGTTAAAATACCTGGTACTGCCATGGATCCTTTACTGGACTACGCTTTTCGATGTATTGATAAACATCATGTCACAGAGCTTGGATATTTATACTATTCTAGTGATGGTCACGTCAAAATTAACAAAAACATACATAGCATTAAAAAAATAAAACTATGTAGGCACGGAGCAAACATAAAAGTGGTGTATACATGATGGGGGACGAGTCTCGACTCATCATTCTATAAACTATTGTTAAACACAAACCTTGTCACATTATTTTTGTTATTGATAAATTTTTTGTCACGAATACTTTCAGGTTAACTAATACTCACGACGTTTTATAAGTGCTAAATTTTTAAAGGAGATTTTTCATTCAGACCTCGTTTACAAGCTTCGCCGAGTAACTTACTTCACTACGTCACACATGACATTACATTCCGTGACGTCACAGCGTGACCATCGTGACATACTGAGCCTAGGTCAGTTATCAGTGAGATAACGCGCCACTAGCGCTCGCGGCGGCCGTGTCACCAACCTCTCCGTGCTCCGGCCGGCAGTCCACCGCCGTCTACCTTACCGTCCGGACCGCGTAACCGTCATACTCTAGAAGCTCGCGAAGTGTTGTGGTGATGGGGAGGTAGGTGCCGGGTTCGGTACCATGGCGTAGGCATGGTGAAGGCAGCGGTAGTGCTGTTAGTTTGTGGTGTGATGTATGTGGCGTGTGGGGCAGCGGCTCCGGCGGAGGTGGCCGACGATGGGTCTCAGAGGAGTGAGCGGAGCGCCAACCTGAGTCACATCACGGGGACGGCCAGGAAGATCAGGATGTACGTGAAGAACAGGATACTGCAGATTCTACCGGACGGAACAGTCAATGGGAGTAATGATGATACGTCTTACTACTGTGAGTGAAAAAATATATTTAGGAATTTGTGGGTTTGAAAAAATGTTTAGAACCTGTGAAAAGTGTTTCTTTCACCGGTGGCATTTTTAGCAAAGGTTTTACAGGAGGAATTGATTATTAAAAGCTTTTTGGGGCAGCGGTCCCTAGCCATATGTGTTGTGGATTAGCAAATAAGTTTGAGGAGGTGAACAAGAATCAACGACGAAATTATGGGCTAAATTATACCGGTAACGAAAGAGGACTGCTATGAAAAAGGCAACAAAATGCAACACGTTTATTGGCAAAGAAATGTCCGATATATTTTTGAGGGAGAGACTTTTGATAAAAACAGTAAGATAGATAGGGGATGGACCTAATTAAAAGTGGGTTAGTAACCACCGGAGCAAAGCATTACCACATTATCAAATAAATGAGGGTTAAAAAAATAAATTCAATAGTATTGTATGATTAATCCCTAAAATTAACCTCTTTAACGATTGACATTCCCTATTAAGCTGTATAATGTATTATCAGTTTCACAGATTTTGAACTTTTGCTATTTTATCATCGGAAATAACCAACGACGATTTTAATTACACTACTCAAATATATAATATGACGTCATAAAATTAACCTCTCTTAACCAAAATAATATTGCTGATTGAAGTTTGTAACTTCCCTTGACGAAGTAGTGAAGGCAAAGCGAATGACCTTAACAACGTTTGCAAGGTTGCTGCATAGACTATCGCCACACGTTCTCATTTGAATTAACTTTGAGCTTCATTGTTTTATGAATGGACTGTGTACAATTCATTAAATCCCCTAGACAATTAGTACAACGTATAAAATAGGATGTTAACTGTTCCGTTACAAACCTAATTATTGAGTCCTAAACAAATTTTCAACAAACGAATAGTGTTTAGATCAGACTAGAACTTTTTATTTATTTAAACGTTCCTTTATCTTTTTGCTGTGTATAAAAACAACGTATCTGACTAAAATGAATCGGAATTTTTACTTGAAACCTCAAAGCTGTACCCTAGTAGGTTTTATTTTGTTTTCACATTTTTATATTTGGTTATTGATGTCAGTTATAAGGAAGACTTGTAAACCTTAGATGAAAGGTTTTCACATATTTATTAATATTTTTGATGATAATCAGTCCTTTTTAGCGAATTTCCCTATAGGGAAGTAGCTATTACCGTAGGTCTCATGGTAAGACCTAAGCCCGGGACCGATTTACTTTTTCATTTTGATGTCCACAGAGGCCAAAAACACCATTCGTTCAAATTTTTATATATCTATATATAGATATATATATATATATATATATATATATGTGTCCATCCGCACGATAACTTGAGTAATTTTTGTCCGATTTTTATAAAATTTGGTTTGAAGGTGTAAGGCGGGATAAACTTGAATGAGTTCGCGAACCAGCATGATCGGACTATGGGAACGGGGGTTTATGGGGGGTTTTATGGGGTAAAAATAGGTTTTTCCCATTTTTGACCCTAAAAACACAAAATTTCACAATTTCTTTTTAAACCATTTTGTAGAGCTTAAAAAAACAAATAATTTAGTATATTGAAGCATTATTATGCGCCTAATTGTTACGGAGAAAATTCAAAAAAATTGTAATTTTAAAATTCCCATGTTATTCTTATGGAGAATAAGTCAACTGTTGTAGTTTGCTTGTTTATGAACATATTTTGATAAAAGTTGGAAAATACATTAATTTCTTACTAAACCACAGTACCTTTATAAATATTCTACATAAAAACACTTTTTTACCCTCCCTGTTGCAGCAAACCTAAGTACTCATTAAACTAATTCTGTTTAAATAGGGAATAAATGTGATATTTTTAAGGAGACATTTTAGTTTAAATCCAATCAGGCAAATGGAAATTCGCTAAGTCTGCAGGTTTGCTGCGGCGGGGGTATTTAACCTTAACTTTCATATCAATTACCTAACTATACTTAACAAATAATTGGTAGAACAGCGTTGACAATGCTTTATAACGAATAAAACACAGTTATTTTAACCCGAAACTTTTCAGTCTCTTTTCTGTTATAAATTAATAATTTGCGTCAGTTTGGGGATAATTTGTAGGGTTTTTAGCATCATAATATAGTTTAAATATAGCTACCTAGTGGTTTTACTATGTGAGATTATCGACTACTTATTTACATTTAAAGAACGTGCTACATGTTATAATTTTTGGTAGTAAGTAATATTGATTGGACGTAAGTAAATGGTCCATCACTAAGAGTAAATACAAGATCAGAATAAGTAGTATGAAAAAAGTTGTTTAGTTTTTTTTATCAATAACGTATATTAAAATAACTTTTCCCCAAATACCATTGACTTTATGTTAGGCCTAATTTAATGTTCAAACGAAATTTTTACCTTTTGCCCTATAGGATTAGTGATGAGGAAATATATAACCTTACATCTTTTTGGTCGTAATGATTTTAAAGCCAGTTAAACAACGCGTAAATAATAAGAATACATCGGACATAAACAAACTATAAAACTGTCTTCAGCTGATCTATTAAGGGACCAGTTTACTCTTGTGTTACTAAAAATCCCTACATCATTGATTAGGGATATAAAATTATAAAATATACCTAAGTTAATTGAAAACACTAGCAATATACAAATAGCGATGATGGACAGATCGATAAGGAAATGTCTAGGTCTCACGCGTTTAGATAAAAAACTCAAAATTCATAATTTTTTAAAATTAATTGCTGCAAATGTAATAAGACACATTAACACATAGCCGATCACATGGGCAATGCACAACAAATCACATAGACACAAGGTAAAATCACACCCATTTATCAGCCAACCCCAATCGCTTACATTCTGGAAATGTATTGACAGTTAAAGTACAGTATTCTTTTTTTAATTAAATCAGGCATTGGATTGACAATAGCACAATTAATTTAGCCCCTGGCCAACAATGAATTATGGACCAGTTGACAATGAGTATGTATGGCATTCTCACAATACCAGCCAAATGCATGGCCATAAATAATTACACCAGTCAATTGTAATCAGGTGACCGTGGAGTGGGAATTGATCTTGTAAATTTTCAACCAATCGGGAGAGATATGTGCTCAAAAAAATTTTAAAACCGGCATTTTTCCTCCAGTGTAATAAGGAATTCGATATACATTTTGGCACAATGTTATGACTTATTTTGGAGGGAGTTATGAAACAATTTTATGTTCTCCTAGACAGTTTTATAGATAGACATAAAGCTCTGAGATAACTAAATCACACGGTCACGGCCTTGCCACATAGCTAAAGAGTCATTGGGAACTAGTGAGATTGAACCCAGGTGAAATATATTTTATTCTAATTCTAGCCATTGTAAAAACTCAATAGAAAATTACTTTCGGGGCTAATTCAAACATACTGTGGTTTACTTTGGGATACAAAAATAAATTCAGACAAACGTGTTTAGAAAACAGATTCTGGTTTGATACACACAAAACTGGGTACGAACTACACGAGATTTCTAATTTTGAAGAAAACTCACAAAGGGGTAAATCAATCCACAAGAACGCGCTGGCCAAATCTTTTCCAGCCAAAAGAAGGTCGCAAGTAGAGATTGAATCGCAAATTTTAGAAGCAAATCAAGTATGTAACAATATGCCAAATCAAGCTCTGAGTTGTTAAAATGTGCCAAACAATTGTCCAATAGATTTGAAAATGTTTCACAAGTGCACAGGAAATTTTGCAGACACCTTATCAAGTTCACGCCCACTGCACAAAACAGAAGACCTTTACATAAAATGGAATGAATACAAAGTAGCATCTGTAAACAAAGCAAGGTGGTGTTGTTTACTTAACAACTCGCAGGCGCTAGCCATTCAGGGCTAATTACTAGTACAATGCACCGCCCACATGTTACAAGGCATGCGCACTGCACGGCTAGACTAAACACGGCGCATGCGTGTTGCGGCACGTTTGATCATGTTGCTAGATCACCTGATCTGCTGTTGATTCCATCGTTGTGGACTAGACCATAGACGCAAAACTGTCCCGAGTGAGACACGTGGGAATTCCTAGATGAATTATCTGAGCTTGCATTAGTCAATGAGCTAGAGTTTGAAGATTTTTAAAAATTAAACCAAACAGTCCTTGGTTGACCTTAATTAGTTTCCTGCGTTAACATGAGATGATTTCAGCTACAGGGCAATTAACTCTCCCATACATTACCCTGAAGTAGCCATCTATAAAATTCCTCTCTGGACCATATATTGGGCGTATCTTTAGAACGAAGTGGTAACTATTCTCATTTCAAGAACTGCTTCCATGATAAATTTAAGTTGAAACAGTTGGCCTAACATAATATTGGAAAAAAATATCGAAATTAATATAGGTTCACAAGGAACACGATCCATTGGAAAATTCGTGATCATGCTCCATTTAGTAAAACCTCCGTTTTCTCCACAAATTTGACTCCCGCAATTACAGTGATTGTGTACATAAAAACATGTCCACAATTTCGCCTCGTCGAACTGGCAGATTGCGCGACAAAAAGTAGTCCTGGACATCATTCTGACTCGTCCGGCGGCAGTCTGTCTCAAGTGTCTTTAGGATAGGAACCTCCATGGAACATTGTTTGGGGAATTGCTTGACGCCCTTAAGGAAGAGCTCTAAGAGTATGAAGAACTTTCTACCATGGAAATGTCGGAAACAATCATCGTTAACGAACTGCCTGGACGACTTACTCATGTATACCCAAGGGTGCACTGGGAAGTTGTGGGAATTCGTTCTCTTCCCGAAGAACCAAGAACCAACTAGTTTAGGGCTTTAAGTTTCCAGCTACACCCATAGTTGCTGACAGCATTCCTGATGTACAGATCATTGAATAAATTCTTGATAAGCGGCGTACGTATCATTTTGGTCACTCGGCTATTGGGTCTGATGATGATTGGAGTGTTCAATCGAAATAGATCACCACCTACCATCTTAAACCGATTATGTATTTACAACCTTGGTG